GAATGGATGGTTTTGAGAACCTTATTCAAGATCGATTCCAGGCAGCCGGTTCAGCAGATACTGAAGAGTTCAAAGCCCAATTGGCCGAGATGCGCACTCAGATCGCTAAGCTGGCTGAAAAGCCAGTACTTCTTCCACACCGCTCATACCAGAGTCATTAATGCGAATGCTAAATTAGGCACCGTCCACTCAATAAATTGATGATCTTTGGGAAGAACCCCTCACGAGTAAGTCCGGCAAAAAAAAACACAAAAGCTGGAGAACTGGATGAGGAAACCCCTACTGACCCAGCCAGAGAGGCAAGAAGGAAGGAAAAGAGAGCTCATAGAGCATCAAAGAGGGAAGCTCGGGAAAAGGAAGCCCTTCAACAGCAACAGAGCGATGCAGCCTTAGTTGGAGCTTCTGGTAGTGGAGCATCTACTCTGACTAGTGAGGACCAAACTGATCAGGTCCCGAGTTCTAAAAGTGCACCCATTGATAAGGGTGCCAATGTTGATCGAATGATCGGCGCCTAAAGCGTCATAGATATGACCCCTCCTCACAGCCTGTGTATTTTATTGTTCTGTATCGACTTTGAGGGAAAATTCCTTTTTATTTAGGGAGGGAGTGGTGAGCAACCTACCAAAGCTGTTAGAAAAATTGAGGTTGTCTCTGTGTATTAATGTTTTGGATGTTTTGTGTGTTGAGCTGTGCAACAGCTAGTCTGTGAAAATTAAGGACCTGAATCTAAGTTTGACTGTTAGGATCTTTAGATGACCACTTAGATATTGATATGTTGAACATGGCAAATCTGACCAATAAATAGGTGAACTAAGAAACTGAAAAAAAATCCAATCATGTGTAGTAGGTTTGTAAGTTCTGATTGAAGTCTAACACTAGGAGCAGAAACTAGAACTTGTCTAAGTAGTCGTGCTTGAATCTGAGAATAACCGGATAGAAAATGATCAGTAGGCCATTTTTGTTAAACTAGTAAAAAGCCAAAATAAAAGAACCAAATGAAAAGCTTAGCACTTGAACCCAATTTGATCCTTAAATCAGTCTTTGTTCTTACCCAACATATATCATATTTGTGGTTCTCCAAAGGTACGATATCACAACTCAGACCAAAAGCCTAAGTTGAGGGTTATTGCAATCTGAACAGAAATAAAAAGGGAAAAAGAAGGTTCAACCAGTGAGCTAAGTGCATATCAAAATTGCATATAAAAAATAATAATAATAATAATAATAGCTACTGGGTCGGGCTGAAATAAAGAAAAATGGGAATCACTCAGAAAAGAGTATGTGAAAACAAAACTTTGGAAAACAAAGGGATTAGTCACTCATGAAACCAAATATCCATTCCCTAGTCTCGAGCCTATGTTACAAGCCAATAAAGTCCTACAGTAATGCTATTCCGGGTGTTTGAAAGATAAAGCATAGAAAGCAAGGGCAAGCCTATGGTAGTTTGTTGTTAGTGTTAGAAGTTTATTGAGAGCGTGAGCGTAGTACTCAGTCCCTACTATTATAAGCGAGGGACTTCTTTGGTGTGAGGACATAGTGTTTGCATTTGAAAGTAGATTGTGTGAGCTGATAATTCGCAGGTATAAGAATAATTGACTGTGAGTAATGAGATGTCATGTATAGATCCTTACATGTTAGATTCAGAGGTTTGGGATACAAATGGTACTTGAATAGTTGTTGCGCAGTATCATAAATCTGAAAATGTATTGAGGGCTGATTGTATTTGTTTTTCTCATCACTTGAGGACAAGTAATGGTTCTAAGTTGAGGGTATTGATGTGCCGCGAAATCGTGGCACATTTGATGCTTAATAACTATGAACTAATACTGGAATGAAGTGAAATTTTGGATTATTTGAAGGGTTTGTTAAATGTGTAGGCAAAATCTGGGTTGTATAGAAAAGTAGAAAAATAGCAGATCTGATGTTGACCAAGTGTAGTTCACAGCCAACTTCACGGACCATTAAATTCATTACATGTCTGTGGTTGAGCTCGTGAAAGTGAGGCAGTGTTGGGCCTTGAAAAGATGAAGAGCAGGATTAACCAAGTGAAGACTACAGAAGGTTCCACAGGCCGTAGTCCTCACCACGGACCGTGGTACCTGCCATGAAGGTGAACTAGTGTGAAAGCAAGAAAGAGTTGAAAGAAGGTTGAAACCCAAGTGAAGACCACGGGCGACTTCACGGGCCGTGGTCCTCACTACAGACCGTGGTAGCTCACGTGGTGCATTTTCCAGTGACCAAGTTTGAAGACCCACTTTCGGGAAGCTCCAAGGCAAGACCACGGAGGACTTCACGAACCGTGAAGGACTTGATGGTTCGTGGTAGTGGCCGTGAAAAGGGCCCGACAACTCAGTCCTAATTCGATTAGGACTCATTTTAAACATTCTATTTTGAATTACTTTAGGTCATTTTAAGATCATTATTCATTATCTTAGATTAGATGACGAAGAACAGAGGATTATTTTTAGCTGACGGTTTTTGAATCATTGATTATTCTTATTAGTTGGAAATTCGGATTCAGACTATCACATTATCAAAGTGATTGTTGATTTGCTAATTATTTTCGTAAGTCTTTCTCAATATGCTTTCATTCCAAATTACTGATTGTTTATGTGAAAGCATGAGTGGATAAATACCACGACTGGGATTGTGGGATCTATGACGATATTCTAGTTGCGATTCCCTAAAATGAGTAAAAGGCAGTCTGTGTTTACAACCAGTAGTTCTTAGCTTTCAATATCATTTTAGACTAGTGAGTGCATGCATTAGACGAGCCTGTATCTGGTATTTGTTCGAGGGAAAATTACCAATTAGGAAAAAGCTGAAATAAATTAACAAATTGGAGTTAAAGCTCGAGTTTGAGAGTAAAGATCTTTAACACCATATCATTTCAAGTGAGGTTCAAGGTTAGTAACACTCTAAGATTGAGAGAACATGAGTGATCATTATCTGATTAGGCTGAGAAGCGTTAGATAAATTTAATTCGCAAGGAATATGTAAACATTGATTTGCCTGACACTCAAATTATGGGATAAAAGTGGAACTAATGTTATTGTGAACACAATCCTTGTTTCTCTTAAATAATTGAATAAATCTTACAGCGAAATAGTTTGTTAGTCTTGTGCCTGGATTATGACTACAAGTTTTGGTAATTATAACAATTCAACCATACCCAATTTACTTTTCATTGTTAATTGTCTAGGAGATAATAACAACATTCGAATAAATGCGATAGTAAAACCTTATTTGTAAAAAAATTCTCTATGGGATCGACCTCAACTCTAGTTGAGTACTGTAAATTGTCATCGACCGTTTAAACTTCTTATTTGAAGTGTAAGTTTGGACTTATCAAATTTTAGTGTCGTTGTCGGGGAATTTCAATTCAGAAGTGTTTTACTAGATTTTATTCGATTTGTAGTTATATTTCCTAATTTCACGTTTTGTTTTGTGTTTGTGTCTCTCTCAGATGAGTGCTACTGTGTATGCCAAGTATTAGGAGTAAAGGAGCTTCATTGAACCTTTACAACTCAGAACTCCAAAAGACTCTTCGAAGAATAGTGAATGCACAAGAACTTGATGCACAAAGACAAAGGTTGGGACTAGAAGTTGAAGCCGCTGGAAGAGGTGTTCAGCAGAACGGCGGTAACAACCAACCTAGGGTGGTAGATGAGAATAGAGGAGTGGATGGATTGGTCCCTCCCCAGCGCCAACCAATAGCTCCAGAGGGTTGAGCTCAGCATCCAGCGGACATGATGTATGATGAAGATGATACAAATTTGGATAGAGCTAAAGCCACTGGAGCAATAGTGTTACCTGCACCTCTTCCAGGTGTTAAGATCACAATCACCAGCACTATGATTCAATTGTTGAACCTAAAAGGTATGTTTAGGGGAACAGCTGGTGATGATGCAAATCAGCACCTAATGAATTTCGTGGCAATTTGTAAGTCACTAGAGATTCTTGGAGTCAACCAAACAACAATGAGGTTGAGGTTGTTTCCACTGTCTCTTACTAGAGAGGCGACTAACTGGTTGAATGAGATGCCAGATGACTCCATCCGAACTTGGAATGAGTTGAAGGAAGCTTTCCTGGAACGATTCTTCCCCGAATCAAAAGAGCTACAGATGAAGGACGAGATTTGTACACACAAGCAGCTACCAAGAAAGGCAATGCATGATACTTGGTGGAGGTTCAGTCAAAAGCTGAAGAAATGCCCCAACCATGATCTTACCGTAAGGGATCTTAAATAGGCCTTTTATAAATCTCTCAATTATGTTACTAAACCTGTTGTTGATGCAGTTTGTGGAGGCTCATTTATGAGGAAGTCATTTGTGGAGAGCATGCAGCTATTGGATGAGGTCTCAAAGAACAACAGAGCATGGTACACTAGAGATGCAGAGGTAGGAGAGCTTGGGTATACATTTGAGTTTCAGCTGAACAGAGGAAGAAAGAAGAAGAAAGGGACCAAGACATGGCACATATGAGGATTCAAATAGATTTGCTCACAAAGCATATTGTCGCCAAGTCTAAAAAGGTGAATGTTGTGGGAGAACAAAAATAGGTATGAGGATCAGGATCTTGACCTTGATGAGGAAGCTAATTACTTGGACAACCAAGGAGGTTTCCAGAATTATAACTTTGGAAATGAGGGTTACAATTCTGGAAACGCAGGTCGGAACTATGCTAGGGATGGTCAGTTTGATAAGCCACCAAATAGAGATCAAGGAAACTGGCAAAATAGAGATGGGTACAGGAATGATCGCAGTGGTGTTTTTGTTCCCCCAGGGAATAGATAATGGGCAGGTGGTAGTTCCAGTGGATCTAAGCTGGTAGATATGATGGCTAAAGTAATCCACAAAGTTGAATCAACTGATGCAAGGGTAAAATAAATGAGAGGTGATTTCTCAAGCATGAGTCAGTTGGTGGACTCTAACACCACCTCCATTAAACAAATTAAGCAGCAGTTGGGGAACTCTCAGCCTCACTGAATTAGAGGAAGAATGGATCACAACCAAGTGACACCATTCAGAATCCCAAGAAGGACGGGCTCTGCATGGCCATCTCCACCAGGAGTGGTAAAGTTATTACTGACCCTTTCTGTAGGTACGAAAAATGAACAGATCCTGGAGCAATTTAGCAGAGATGAGGATGAAACTATACTGGTTGATGACTTGGAAGATGCTCAGCCTAAAGCACAACCCGCGTGAAGAAAAGAGAAAGAGATCGAGGAAAACCTGCATTTACAGCAGATCCCCAGATCACCTCTTCCTTTCCCTCAAAGGCTCAAAAAGAAAGCTGAAGATGGGAAGTTTACAAAGTTCATCACTATGCTGAAACAACTTTCAATAAACATACCACTGGTGGAAACCTTGGAGCAGATGCCAGGATATATGCCAAGTTCATGAAAAACTTGGTTACCAAGAAAAGAGTTGTACGTTTTGATTTTTCTAATGATGTTAATTATTGCAATGCCATTGCGACTAGATCTTTGGTCAGAAGAAGAAAGATCCAGGTTCATTCACGATCCCATGCACCATTGGGTCAATTAGCTTTGCAAAAGCTTTATGTCATTTATGAGCTAGCATCAACTTGATGCCATAGCCATTTACAAGAAGTTGGGATTGAGAGTACCAAAATCTACAACAATGAGGTTAATGATGGATGATAGGTTAGTTAAGTGGCATGTGGGAGTCCTATGTGATGTACTTGTGAAGGTGGACACCTTTATTTTTTTTGGCAGACTTCGTGATCTTGGATTGCAAGGTGGACTTTGAGGTTCCTATCATTTTGGGAAGACCATTTTTGGCAACAGGGAGAGCCTTGGTATATGTTGAGAGAGGTGAGCTGAGGTTCAGACTTAACAAGGATGAGGTAAAGTTCAACAGTTGTAGGTCAATGAAGCAACCCAATGATATGAATATGGTATCTGCAATGGAGGTGGTTGATGATGAGGACATGAGGGTACCCATAAAAGAGAGGATGGCTGTTGAAACCTTAGCAACAGTGCTGATGAACTTTGATGCTGGTTTCCATTCTGACTACATAGAGAGCATTAATGTTTTGCAGGGTATGGGAGCACACTCATATGCTCTAAAGAAATTGGACCTGGACTTAAAAAATAGGACAAGTCCTCCAGCAAAACCATCCATCGAGGAGCCATCGGTGTTGGAACTGAAGTAGTTAGCTAGTCACCTCAGGTATGTATTTTTGGGTACTAACAACACTTTACCCGTGATCTTGGCTGCTGATTTAAATGAAGAGCAGGTGCAGGAGGTGATCAAGGTGTTGAGAAGGTACAAAAGAGCCATTGGGTGGACCATCAATGATATAATTGGTATACCTCCGGGTATACGCACCCACAAGATTCAGCTTGAGGAGGTCTGCAGCCTAAACATTGAGCACCAGCGGAGGCTAAACCCACATATGCAAAAGGTGGTTAAGAAAGAAATTATCAAGTGGTTAGATGCTGGGGTGGTCTATCCCATTTCTGGCAGTCACTGGGTAAGTCCAGTGTAATGTGTGCCTAGGGCGGTATGACCGTGGTGGCAAATGCCAAAAATGAGTTAGTCCCGCAAAGACCAATCACTGGATGGTGAGTATGTATGGACTACAAGAAGCTGAACAAGTGGAAATGGCGGGATCATTTTCCCATGCCTTTCATGGACCAGATGCTTGATAGGTTGGCAGGTAAAGGGTGGTATTGTTTCTTAGATAGATACTCTGGCTACAACTAGATATCTATTGCTCCTGAAGATCAGGAAAAGACCACCTTCACATTTCCTTATGGCACCTTTGCATTTACACGCATGACATTTGGACTGTGTTACGTACCAGCAACATTCCAAAGGTGTATAAAGTCCATTTTCTCTGACATGGTGAAAGACACTTTAGAGGTATTTATGGACGATTTCTCTGTAGTAGGTGATACTTTTGATGATTGTTTGTTAAATCTTAGCAGGGCTTTACAAAGATGTGAGAAGGCCAACCTGGTGCTGAATTGGGAGAAGTGTCATTTCATGGTAAAGGAGGGCATAGTTCATGGACACAAGGTATCACAGAAAGGTATCGAGGTCGACAAGGCCAAGATTGAATTGATTAAAAGCTACCTCCGCCGATCTATGTGAAGGGTGTTCACAGCTTCTTAGGATATGCCAGATTCTATAAGCATTTCATCAAGGACTTCTTCAAAATTGCACATCCAATGTGCAAGCTTTTGGAGAAGGAGGTGAAATTTGTCTTTGATGAGGCATGTCTCAAAGCTTTTAAGTTCCTAAAAGAAAAGTTGATTTCAGCACCAGTGATTATTGGTCCAAACTGGGCGAAACCATTTGAGGTGATGTGTGATTCTAACGGGGCTGCGTTAGGAGTTGTGTTGGGACAGAAGCGCAACAACATGTTCCATCCAATTTACTATGCTAGTAAGTCGCTAAAAGGGGCACAATGAAACTACATAGTCATTGAGCAGGAACTACTGGTTGTAGTATATAAGTTTGAAAAGTTCAGAGCTTACCTGCTTGGCACTAAGGTGATAGTTCATACAAACCATGTTTCCTTGAGATATCTCATGGCAAAGAAAGATCCCAAACCTAGGTTGATCCGATGGGTGTTGCTTCTCCAAGAATTTGACTTTTAAGTGAACGACAAGAGAGGTTGTAAGAACCAGGTAGCTGATCACATGTCTAAGTTGGAGGCTACAAAGAAGGAAGAAATTAAGCTTGAGATAGATGATACATTCCCGCATGAGTAGGTGTTAGCTACTACTCTTGACCTTATTCCTTGGTTTGCTGACTATGCTAATTTTTCGGTAAGTGATGTGATGCCTGAGGGGCTGACAAATCAGCAAAGGAAAAGGTTCTTGCATGATGTAGGCAATTACTTTTAGGATGAACCGTATCTGTACAGGGTGTACTGACAACCTAATTAGGAAATGTGTTCCGTAAGCCGAAATAATGCACATTTTGGACGCCTGTCAGTATCTCCAGTTGGTGGTCATCATGGTGGTACTCGAACAGCCCACAAGATACTTCAATGTGGGTACTACTGGCCCACAATTCATCAAGATGCAATGGACATAATAAGGAGTTGTGATGTGTGCCAGCGGCAAGGATCCATCTCTCGGCGCCATGAATTACCCATGACACCTATTCTAGAGGTGGAATTATTTTATGTGTGGGGTATTGACTTCATGGGCCCCTTTGTCAGTTCATATGGGCAGAAATACATACTGGTTGCGGTTGACTATGTGTCCAAATGGGTTGAAGTTGTTGCTTTACCTGAGAACGAAGGAAAGAGTGTTGTTGGTTTCCTGAAAAAGAACATATTCTCAAGGTTTGGAAAACCTAGAGTCATTATCAATGTTGGTGGTTCTCACTTCGGCAACAAGGTGTTCAGTGCGCTTCTGACCAAGTATGGGGTAAAACAACACATGGTGGCAACACCTTATCACCCACAGACCAGTGCACAAGTGGAGGTTTCCAACAGGGAGATTAAAGCAATTTTGCCAAAGACAATTAATGCCAACAAGACAGATTGGGCAAGGAAGTTGGATGATGCTCTATGGGCATATCAGACAGATTTCAAGAAACCTATTGGTATGTCTCCATATCAACTGGTGTTTGGAAAGGCATGTCATTTGCTAGTTGAGCTTGAGCATAGAGAACTTTGGGCATTGAAGAAGCTAAAACTCAGTTGGAGCGAAACTGCGAACTTGAGGTTGGATCAAATCAATGAGATGGATGAGTTCCGTCAGAGAGATTATGAGAGATCAGCACTTTATAAAAAGAGGATGAAGCTAAATCATGACAAGCATATTAAGAAAAGAAGCTTCACTCCTAATGACTTGATGTTACTTTTCAACTCCAGACTTCGTCTATTCCCAGGAAAGCTGAGATCTAGTTGGTCTGGACCTTTTAAGGTCACACAGGTTTTTCAATCTGGTGCTATTGAACTGAAAAATGAGAAAGGTGAGAGGTTCAAAGCTAATGGTAAGTGAGTCAAGGCATATCTGGGTGCTCCTGAGGATGTGAAGATTCTAGAGGAATGCAACTTGATGAAGTCTGAGTAATCGAGTAACTTGTGTCGCGCCGCAACGTTAAATTGTGTGCTGCTTGGGAGGCAACCCAAGATGTAATTGTATTAGGTATGTTCCCTTTTGCCTTATTATTCTTTGTTTTTATAGAGTCACTGTGTGTTGATATGTGCAGTAGAGAATAGGTAAAAAAAATGTAGAAACTGATGCAGACTGACCTTCACGGACATTCTCACGGATCGTGGTTCCCTTCACTGGCACTTTCATGGTCCATCAACTTGTGGACCAACCTAAGGAAGCGACTGGAAATTACATGAAAAAGGTGCACGGAAAGGTTCACGGTCCATCAGATCTTGTACGAACCGTCTAGCCTCTTGTGAACCTCATGAAGAAATTTCAGTTCCAAGTCAACATCAAGGAAAGTTTCACAGACCGTGATCCCCTTCACTGGCAACTTTATGGTCTGTCGTCTGCCTCAGGTAAGTTTCTTTGCCAAGTCATTGTCACGGACCGTGATGCCTTTCATGGGCAATTTAACGACTCGTAATCCAGTACCCGGTAACACCATTTACCTTAACCAACCCGTGCGTAACCCAACTCCAAATTAACACGTATTTATTCAATTCTAAAGGCCAAAGAGTAAGTTTCTTCCTATTCTTCTCCTACATAACGTCTATCTAATGGTAGAATCGATTACCATTCATCAATAACTCCCACATCCATCCAAGAATTGAAACCCTAAGTGCTCAGTTGTGTACGTGTGTCAAGTTAATTCCAGATTTTGGTTGTGCCACTTTTTCTAAGTAAGTAATTTTCAATGGTTTGCAAAGTTCAATAATGCTTACACCTATATATGATGACTTCGATTCTCTTAAGTTTAGCATGCCCTTGTGATGATTAAGTGTTAGTTACTAAATTGTAGTGCGTAAGTCGAATTGGGAAGTTTTAATTGTTCTTGTATGCTAGCCTATAACAGAGGGTCGAATTTGTTGGTAGGTGGTGAACTTTAGGTTAGTTAACTTAGTTGATTAAGAAATAAGGCAAAGTTTAAGTTATTGGAAGATCTTGTATTTGTGTAAAAATGGTGGTTAGGTGCTGAAATTCGATGTTGGGAAGAAGGTGACAGACATATTACCCAGCGTAAGACTACGACTGGTTGTACAGACCGTGGAAGATATCACGGGTTGTGAAGCTTGTCGTAGACCACACTTGCAATCTACCCATCCCTCAGCTAAAGTTCACGGGTAGTATCATGGACCATGGTGCACTCCACGGGCCGTGAATACGTCCGTGAACATCCTTTGGTAAAATGGTCAAAGCCTCCTTGTGCACACTAATTTTGTTTCAACTCCATGAGGGATTTCACGATTTGTGATCCAGACCACGGCCCGTCCAAGCTCCAGTAGAGTTCCCTTGTTTGAAATTTTTTATTTTTTATTTATTTTCTGTACTTAGTTTGTGTTCATCTTTTGATTATGTGTCCCTTCTCGATGATAGATTGGGTGACGGCATTCTTAAGGCATGGCGTCACGATGATATTACACAAGGAAAGTCTAAGTACCCGATAGTGTGCCATTTTTCTTTGTTGATAAGTAATGAGCTCTCTATTTCATAGGTACAATGGGTCCCAAAAGAAAGAATGCTAACAAACCTGCCCCCGTAACCACTTCGCAATCAGAGGGTCATGACGATTCCGAAGTGAGTGGGTCTGAGGTGCAAATAAAGGTTACACTTGAAGGTCACTTGCCTCGGGCTACTAGATCACTGGCTAGAAGATCTATTCTCTAGGACTCTCCTCCTCAGCCTGCAGAGGGAGGTAGTAGTTCTCATAACGGGGAAAACTTGGGAAGTCAATTTGATACAACTGCTGGTAGCCAATCTGCAGATGACTCGTCGGGCAGTGCTAATTATCAGGATGAAACAAGTACCTTTCCACCTGTGGCTAATACAGAAGCTGAAACTGGAGTACGAGATGAAGGAGTTAATAGAGAGGATGAGGAGGAAATCACCAATGATGATACCATGGTGATGTAAGTGATCGCTTTGGAACCTGACCCTGCATTGAGACCACAACTGATTGCCTGTTATCGCTCCATGTGGACTGTCAACCAGTCTAAAGAGTTCTTCGACAATGGCATTGTGAACAAAACTAGAGGCTTCAAGAATCAAGCAATCATGCCTGAGCCTAGGGTGGTGGTAGATGATATCAAAGCATTCTCGGACATCTATCGAATATTTAAGCTCCATTAGTTCGATCGGATAGACAATGCACCTGTAGAATACTCTAGCCACCTGGACAGAGAATTTTATTCCTCTTATACAGCTACATTGATGAATTTTGTTGCAGATACGGAAACCATGAAACGTAGACAGAAAGACATGGCTATTACATGTGGTCCACTCAACTCAATCATAGTTCGGGGAAAATCAATAGACATTTTTTAGGCTTCGATTAACAGAATGTTACATGGCCCAAAATACTCTTCACCAGCTTCAGTTGGTTTTTTCGAGGGCAAACATCATGAGATAACCAGTGATACCATAATGGAAAAATAGGACTCTCGAGGGAGGGTTTTACGCTAGATTGCGAAGAAGATTGCAATAAATGGGGATAATGCAGTGTGGGTTACCACAAATCCAACACTCATTACAAAAGCTTCGCTGTCTTTTCCAGCCAAGGTTTGGTGGGCTGTCGTCCGGGCACATTTGCGACCGACAGCTAATGATAACACTTTGTCCCCTTCCCTGGCCACGTTGGTGGCATGTCTTATGGTTGGTTGCCCGGTGAATGCAGGACGGATTATAGCGATCGAGATGAGAGACAGGGTACTAAATGAGAGAGCCGCACTTCCGTTTCCCTGTCTGATAAGGAAATTGTGTAGACAAGCAGATATTTCCCCAAACAGGTTGGTTGATAGATTGTGTGATGTATTCAGACTCATTCAAGTCTCCAAAATCAAAGATGTCGTGAACCATCTCTTAGTCACGAAGTTTGCCGCTGTGAGTACCTTAGTTGTTGTTCCATATGTCCCAATTGACATCCCTCGTGCAGATAGAGGCCTAACACATGGAGAGTCATCACAGCCTTTCTCCTCAGATGTGTCACCACCTCCAGCTTCAGCCTCCTAGCACCCAGGTACCTTTTTCATTATCCCTATGCTCTTTCTTGAAAAATTGGTTGCAGATCAGCACCAAACGAGGACCCTGGTCAATCAGACTGTCAACAGGATGCCTCAGTTAATAGAGACAAAAGTGTTAGCTGTGAAAAAAGAGATCAAAGATCAGATGAGGAAGGAACTAACGGTCTTAAAGCACAGAATGGATGGTTTGGAGAACCTTGTTTAGGATCGATTCCAGGCTGTCGATTCAGCAGATACTAAAGAGTTCAAAGCCCAGTTGGCTGAGATGCGCACTCA